TTGTTAAAGGATCAGCGTGTCATGTAATATTCCCATATAAACTTTAACATCCAATTAAAAAATATTTGTATAGTAAAATTCGCTAATTCACGAGATCAATACATCCTTTATTAGACCGCTTTGTCGAGTTAAATGCATCCTTACGGAGGTGTCGAAATGTTGAATCAATTCATTCACTTCCAACAGCGCTTAATGGGAGCAGCGTCCTAGAGGGCAGAGCGTCACGTTATTTAAAGGGGAAGTTAACTCGTTAACGAGTAGCAAATGATTAAGTAGCGGCATTGGTTACTTTTATGCCACTGATAAAGCTTTTATATGTAGTTTGGGGTAACAAAGGGGTTTTATAGGTTTGACTGAAATATGAATGCAATAACTGACACTTTAAATCAATGTTTCAAGAAACAAAACAAAAAAATTGAACAAAAAACAGATAAAGACAAAAAAGTAGCCATTGAATAATGCATTCAGATTTGTGGAACTCAATGCACTGAATCTCCAATACGGAGGCAATAGGGATTTCGCCTAGGGCGTCAAATTGACTATAAACGGCCCTGTATATATATATATATATATATATATATATATTTAGGCTTATTACACACACACACACACACACACACACACACACACACAAAAAAAAAAATAGAGCTGCTCGGATTGAGTAATGTTATACCTATCTAAGCAATAGGCCTACAGTGGAATACTGCAATACGTTTAGTATACGACCCCTATTAATCAAAATTGTTTTATTTTATTTATATATATTTGTTTTATTATTAGGCTATTATTATTATTATACTCTCACTGGGGGCTGATCCCCCCTAAAATGAACATCCTAGAATCTCCCCTGCTTGGCAAAATCTCGGCCAATTTTTTGAAAAAGAGCATAGTTAAAATATAGTCATGCACAATTTATTTTTCTCTCTGTTGAAACTGCTTTGTGTGCTGTACTTTAGTAAAAAGCAGTCTTTGGAAATTCTTCTGCACTCACCTGATGGGTTTGGCATAGATATGGGGCGAGACGATTTTCCATTCTCACTGCTGCTGGTGTTTCTGATTGGTGGACCGCCGCCTCGAAGAGAGACTACACATGTCAGCGCTGGGTGGGAAGACAGTTTCTTTGTCTTTTGAGGATGTAGAGGAAGTCTTGGGGGAGGTCGAAGGGGGACAGCTGGAGGGGTAACTTTATTGTCATTTGATAGCAAAATATCCAAATATATATGAGCTTCGGTGTGCTCCAGCTGAGCATACTGTTGGGTATTTTGATACTCAGATGACTGATAAGTCCTTGGTGGTAAAGGGGGTTTTGAATGGCTTTGAAATGACTCATTAGCATATGCAAATCCATTTCCTGCTAATTTGTGAGGGCTGTGGTGAAGCAGAAAGCTTTGGCAATTTATACATGGAGGCAACGCTTGGGGTTTTGAATTGGGAGATGGGCTGTTCGGTGGCCAACTGACTTCATTGCTGGTTAGGTGTAAAACATCCTCATTTCTCTGACCTCCTCTGTTTCGATGTTTGTGATTCTTTTCAATTGTAGTATCCATGTCATTTTTCTCCTCCTGTAGAGGTACCCAGACTAGTTTCATACCAGGCCTTTGAAGATGGCAGAGGCAATGACAGTGTTTCTCCTCTGAGTGGGTAGGTGGCGCAGTTGAGCCCTGATGATTCTCTATGGTGCCACTCACATTATTTACCTCACTGCCATCAGGAGCTGAGGAAAATTATTTATGATTATAAATTATAAATGATTAAGCTTATCAACAGGCTTAGACAGAATCTACATTTTTCTCCCCACATTTTATTTTTTTGTGCTGGTAAAATGGTATAGTGTATTAAACAGATCTGAGAGTTCTGCAACCTTTTTGGTAGGTGAGAACATAATCTGATGTTTTTGTTCATAATCATAAAGGTTTTTGAAATAAAGAAAGTAAAAATCTTTTGAATATCTAAAAACATTTTACAAGCAAATCCTGTATTTTTTGTATTTATATTGGTTTTATATGGTTTTAATTTAATGGCTCTAAACCTCCATCATGTGATATCTACATCACATAAACCTACATCAAGTAATAGCAAACACAAAGTAAAACCATCACTGAGAACCAGTTTTCAGCATCATTTCATATTTAGGCATATACAGTATAAAGCACACATATGTTAGAAACAGATTCCAAAACGTTCACTACCTGATCGACCTACATCCACATCATCTACTGCCAGTTGAAGATTTATTTCCCCCAGCATCTGTCCACTTTTCCCAAGTCTTGAAAATGAAGATATATCCTCTGCTTGGTCCTTTGGACATGACAATGTAATTCCAACTACCACAGACCTTCCATCTTCGCTCATATTTTCAGAGTATCTTCTCACTTTACTGTTGTAGTTTACTGCCGTTTGCTTGCCCGTTCCTTGTTCAAAGTTACGCAAAGCATGAGCCACTCTGCTAGAGGAACCAAAGTGGCTTGACTGGTGTGAAGCATTAAGGTTTGGTTTTGGTGGAATGGTAGGTTTTCCATTGGATGTGTTACGGATTGACTTATCCATCATTTGATGCTCCAAAATAATTTTCATGTCCAAGTGAGAAGGATTTACACATCAAAATCCAGAGACACGCGGTTGCACTGATATTAAAGTGCAAAATGTAGCAACTGATGCAGAACAATCCTTGATTGTGCTGATTTCATAATCAACAATTTAGTGTCTTCTTGGTTAGTGAAGCCTGTGTTGTCACACTCTGTTTCTCTTGTTATATCAATATTTTTAAAAACAAGAAAATAAGCTCATTTACCTTTCATTGAGCATTCAGAGCTGCCACACACAATATGTAAAGAAATAATTTCCGTCCTCCGGTGTACTATCCTTGTGAGCAAAGCTGTTATGAGTGTTGTTAATAAATGTCACTAATGATGGTTACTTCTCCTTTCAGATCTTGTCCTCTGGTCCCTCACATGGCTCACCACACCAAATTGATTGTTGAATATTCAGTGACATATACTGTAGATGCTGGACATAAGATAATGCAGTTACTTTAATTAGAAAGATTATTTGATTATCTGTATGATCCAAAATCTATTTTGCTAATTTCTATAAGCATTGTAACACATAACGAAGTTATCTGCAGAGGTTTTTGAATGATGTTATTTGTATTATATTATATTACATTATATTTATTATATTATATACATATTGTTGTTATACAAAGACTGCTGTGGGAACTGAATACCACAAAAATGCACGAATTTCCATGTTTTGCTTTAGCTTTAAACAACTGAAAACTTCCAGTTCAACATTTCAGCAAGGCAGCTGATTCCAGACTTACCATTATAGTACAAGACTCTGCTTTCCTACATAAAATATTTTATTGTTATAGTTAAGTTTAACAAGATTACTATACAATCAAATGTATTATAAATCCAAAAAAATCAATGTGTTGACAAACAGTAAACAGAATATCTTTTGAAATGTCTAGAAAAATATATTTTAAACATAAACGTAAACAAGGATCTCACTTCCTCTATGACATATAAGTTGATATGTTACTTTTTCAGTTCCTTTATTTTCCATTTACTAGATTTAATTCCTCTTTTTATGCTAACATCCTCCATGACCAAAAATTGAAACTGTAAATGTACAAACACACGTAACATTATAATTAATTTTACCTCATGTATATTACAATAATTCAACTATCAGAAATTTTTGTAAAAATCATAATTTTTATAAAATGTCAGAACTTGGGGTGATTTGCTTACTTTTTATCAATAGTTTTAAGGAAAAAAATTATCCCAGTACATACATACGGAGACTTTCTGAGTTACACAAGCATTCTTCACATTAAGCATTTAATTCATGCCTTTGTAGTTCACCATGAATCATTCCTGTGCGCCCACCAGTTTATTCATTTATATTTCTAGTTCACAGTAGAACACATCCCCCTCCTTTTGCTTCCACATAGTTGGGATCCAGATCGTTCGGGAGTTTTCCGTTTTGTCCCCAGACGTTAAGCTCCCCAAACACACCTGTCTCAATCATCTCCCCCTGCCACGGAATTGGTACGTTCCCAGTTGCAAACTCATTGTAGAATTCATTGTCTTTGTTATCAATCACAACACCTTTGATCGTGCTGAATGCTCCTACATCATCAATGTCTTTCGCATAGACCATCTTAGGATCTGGGACAAATGGAGGAGGAAGCATACCTGTGCAAAATAAGAAAAGAAAATATTTTGAAAGATGTCAAAAATGGTTTAAATTACAATACCTGAAAAAGGGGAGTACCATTGTACTCAGATGATACTTTGCTACATATCTTTGTTCCCTATCGATACTTCACTCGTACTGTGTCTGCTTAAGACGCTATGGGGAAAACTCCTTTTTCTCCGAATACTGAAGCCTTTCAATAACGCAGTGTAACTGCACGGCCATTGGTTCGTGCAGTGTATTAAGAACGAACCAATGGCTCGGCAGCGGAACTGCACGAGCCTATGGCGACAAAACCCACCAGAGCCCGCCAGAATGGGCGGGGCATCTGGCTATATAAGCGGGCACTTCACCATAGGATCCTCAGATTTCTTCTTCTTCATCGACGACTACAAGATCTTCGCTCTACGATACTCGAAGCCTTCGCCGTGAACAAGCCTCGCAGTGGATCAAGACCCCTTTCTGCTTGGCTGACTTCACCGCTCTTCAGCTGCCTTCAGTGTCTGCAGCAGCTGTGGTCTTCCCAGTCCCCAGCCGCTATCCAGCGACTACTATAAGAGCAAATTTCTGAGCAAATTTCCAGCGTTGTTGCAAATGCAGCACTGCTACTGTCACTCGTGCAGGGCTTACCGAGACGGAATGTCCTCATTGCGAGGATATGAGTCTCGCCTCTCTGCGCTCGCGGATAGCTTTCTTTTCAGAAAGCGACTCCACACCTCGCGCCCTCCCGCTTTCTTCCTCCCAGGAGCCTGTGAGGAAAAAGCAGCGGGGCAGAGGTTGTCGGCGCTCGGTGACGAGTGAGCCCACGCCGGCTGAGCCCCCACGTGCCTCACTCTCTCCACTCAGAGAGGTTTCTCCAGTCCACTTCTCCGACCCAGACCAGCATCCCTCTGCGGCTGCGAGCGATCTGGTCTCATTTGGAGGAAGTGAGTGTGACGCCATGGACGACAGCAAGTCGATCTGGTCTCGTTTGGTGAGAGCGAGTGTGACGCCATGGACGAAAGTGTGTCTCTGGCTGCTTCAGATGCGGAGGAGCTATCGGGCTCGTCTTTCGACCCCGCCCCCCTGCCTTCTGTGGAGCCCAGCACTGCCAGCACGGGCATGGACACCGAACTTTTCCGTGTCTTGTCTAAAACTGTGCAAGAGCTGGGTTTGGATCGGTCTTCACCAGAGGAGCCCACCCGCAGCCGCCTGGATGAATGGTGCTTGCCGGGGTGCCGTCAAGCCCCTCGATAGGGCTGTCGCAGTAAGGGAATTTCCCTTGCGGTAATTTTGAGTGGCTCAATAGCACGGTATGCGGCATTACCGCCATATATATATATATATATATATATATATAATTTGTGTGTGTATGTGTTACGATATAACTAACAAGGTCATTTGTGTGTGTATGTGTAACTATATAACTAACGAGGTCATATTCAGAAGACAATGAAACCGAAACCAAATAGCGTTTAAACAGGAAGTGAAGTAAACAGAAGAGAATGACAAAACAATGGTCCACATAACAGAACATAAACCTGACAATAAGATCGTTAGGCTATCGTTAGCCTATATGTATACAGTTAGCCTAGTTGGGCTACAGACTGGACAAGAGACTTTCTATTGATATTTCCACCTGCGCGCGTTCTAGGCGGGCTGTCAGTCAGTGCAGTTACAGTGTTGCGCCACAAGGTGGTGGAACGTGACTGTCATTCAACTACACGTTCAAAAACGCTGATTCGTTCATTCAAAGAGACGTAATGAAACACGCTGTTGAAATCATTTTAACGTTGAGCGCCACTTTAGAAGGCTCAGCTGACCAGCTATGCATCGATGCTAAAACAGAGATTTTGCTTTCCCTGTACAACCTTACGAAAAAAGAAAACACGCAAAAATCGTGGTTGCTGCGGTTTTTGCATTCCTATGCGGTTTGCTCATCAATAGCGCGGTATTGCGATATTGCGGTTATCGCGACAGCCCTACCCCTCGACAACGAGCTTCACCGTTCTTCCCAGAGGTCCATGATGAGATCACCAGATCTTGTCGCACCCCTTACTCGGCCCGCCTGCATGCCTCCTCTTCGTCCGCCCGCACAACGGTCGATGGCGCCGAAGAAAAGGGGTATGACAGACGGCCCAGTCAGAGAACTAGCTAATATCTCACAGATCCTTCCTCCTTAGCCACTTAGAGTGCCTGGGACTAAGGGTCAATTTTCCTAAGAGCGCGCTGTCCCCCAGCCAATGGATATCATTCCTGGAAACAGTTCTCAACTCAGCCCGAATGAGGGCGGTAGCCACGCCAGATCGTGCACTGGCTATTCGGCAGCTCGCGGCTTCATTCAAAGTTGGAGCCCCTCGCCCTCTCAAGGCGTTTCAGAAGATGTTGGGCCTCATGGCCTCTGCGACTCCGGTACTTCAGCTGGGCCTGCTTTGCATGCGGCCCCTTCAGTACTGGCTGAAACCATGAGTTCCGTCCCACGCCTGGCGTCATGAACGCATGCGTGTCAAGGTGAACCGGGCCTGCGTAGCAACTCTGGCCCCTTGGAAAGACTCTCAATGGATGGAATGGGGCATGCCCCTGGGAATGGTCTGCTGAAGGAAGGTGGTCTCGACAGATGCTTCCAACATGGGTTGGGGAGCTCTGTGCGATGGCAAACCTGCTTTTGGCCACTGGTCGAAAGAGGAGAGTCGGCTTCACATCAACTGCCTGGAAATGCTGGCAGTATGTTTGGACCTTCGCACCTTTCCGCCAGACATAAGGGGACACCACATGCTAGTCCGCTCAGACAGCATGACAGGGGTGTCATATATAAATCGCCAGGGCGGTCTCTCCTCGAAGCGCCTCTTCATTCTGGTAGAGCGCCTCCTGGAATGGGCTCAGCCTAACCTGCGCTCGCTGAGAGCAGCACACGTTCCAGGCAAACTGAACCAAGTAGCGGACATGTTGTCACGAAGCAAAGACCCCTCAGAAGAATGGATGCTTCATCTGCAGACGGTCTTTGGGAGAAATTTGGGAGATCGTTGGCAAGGCAGAAGTGGACCTGTTCGCCTCAAAAGTCAACTCTCATTGTCCAATTTATTATTCCAAGGACAAGCTCCCCATCCATGCTCAAGGTCTATGTAGCAGCTATAACGGCTTCTCATGCCCCTATAGCAGGCCAGTCAATGGGCAGAAACAACTTTGTTGTCCGTTTTCTGAGGGGGGCTAGGAGGCTGAATCTGCCCGTCCCTTCACTGTCCCTACGTGGGACCTGCCCACTGTTCTGAGGGCCCTGAAGGATCCTCCCTTTGAGCCGCTGAAGTCTGTTGACCTTCGGTCCCTGTCGTTAAAAACCGCTCTGCTGCTAGCATTAGCATCGGTCA